CGAGGGCGAAGAAGCTCCCTTTAGCAGCATCCAAAAAGAACCCAATATTATTGACACTTTATAATAATTATATTAATAATGGTGACGTGGTGACATCACAAAGCAAAGGTCGAACATGTAGGCGGGGTTAAAATAGAAGAAGCAAATGAATACACTAAGAAAGGAAACAGCCAATCAGAGGCCCAAACTGGAAAAAAAAATATATATAAAAAGGAAACGTTGTTTCCCATCAAGCCTGGCGGTGGCAGCAGGTTATCAAGATTGTCCTGTGATTGGTCGATTCCAGAGGCAGCAGAGCAAAACAAGGCGGAAGTAAAATCCTGCTGATGTCATGCTTCTCGGGGCCAATCACAATCAATTCTTGTGTTTTTGTCATCGTCATCATCATCATCATCGTGGCGACTCCCTCCACCTGGCTGTGCAGCCGGAAGGAGCGCTCCTATTGGTTGGTTCTGACCTTTTGTGAAAAGGTCTTACAGTCAGGGAGCACACACGGACGCTCCACTAGTCATCTCCCACAATGCCTTGCTCTGCGGGGGGCGGGAGTTTTAGGCAGTGCCGCCAACTCCCAGCTCCTCCTGACAGTAAACATGGCTGCTCCAACACGGACTAAGCTGACGCCGCGTTCAGTTTGACGAGGGAAGTTGGAAATTGGCGGCAGGATGGTTGTTGTTTCAGCGTCCGTTCTTCCAGAGGTGCAGTGAACACAATAACCAAAACCCATTTGAGAACCAGACGGAAAAAAACAATCAGCAAGGACTTTCATGATTAATCTGTCGAGTCATTTATCAAGTTATCGTTTTAAACTAGAAATCTTTTGGGGTTTTGACTCAAAACAAACCATCTGAAGATGATGGCCTAGAGAAACTGTCAGGAGCATTTTCTCTTTTCTTTGACATTTCTAAACTAAATGACTAATTAATTGAAATTAATTGTTGCAGCATTAAAAACTGTTTAAAATCCCTTTGGCCCTTTTCCTCACAAGTAAGTAAGAAAAAAATTGCCCTTTAAAGTGACTTTAATAGACTCAAATAGGAAAAAGAGCCACAATTTCCAACTTCCCGATGTCTCATGAAGGCAGCAGTTTATTCCTCGTCTCTTCTTGTCACGTGCGTGAACATAAATATTAAGTAGTGTCAGATCCTTTTAACGTCACACAGAACATGTCGTAGTGTCTGTACTTCAAACACAAAGCTTATTGTATCTCAGATTTCTCTCTTCAACCTTCTCTCCCCCCCCAACATGTCTCATACTACATTTCCCAGAGTTCCTTGCTTACCCTACTTACACTACAATCCATCATGATTCCTATATCTCCCATGTCAGTTAAATAAGTCAGTATTCCTACATCTCCCACTAAGCATCACATGCCCGTTATCACTTACTACTATTTCCCACGATTGCCAGAGACAGCGAGCATGTTTCACACGTCGCAGCCTGTTTTTTAAAATAGATTCATCTTCATAAAAAACGTCAAGAAAAATTAAGTCAGTTTACACTTCAAATACACACACAACGCTTTAAAAAGATTCAACATGCGGGTCTGTCCCAACACCACAACACCTCCTCGTCTTCCTCTCCTCAAACCTTCCTCTGAATCAGACGGTCTATGGCAAGACGTTTCAACGTGTATTCCTTAACACTTCAAAAGTACTAGTACTTATTTTTTTAGTTACTAGTAACTAATTTCAATTTTTTAGCCATTGAAATCTATTTGGCTCTGCAGTCCAGATATCAACTATTCAAACAGTTACTAGTAACTAATTGAATAGTTAGTAACTATTTCCATTTTACTATTATTTTTAGTTACAAGTATCTTTTGGAAAGGTTACTAGTAACTAATGAATAGATTAGTAACTAGTTAATTAGTTACTAGTAACTGCAGAGCCACATAGATTTCAATGGCAAAAAAAGTGCAATTAGTCACTAGAAACAACAAAATAGTTAATAACTATTGTAAAAGTTTCAAGTAAATAAAATAAAGTACTAGTATCGAATAAATTATTACTAGTACAAAGGATACCATTAATACTAGTAACCAGGGTGAGATTTGCCAGGGGGATGCGTGGGATTTCCCCCTTTCTGGTCTTTATCCCTGCCTCTGCTGAATTATTTTTATCCCCAGTGTGACAAAATTTATCCCCCTTCAACAGTGATCAGTGCTACTTCAGTATGATGCAACGGATCACATTAGGGTTACACTTATTTAAAAAATGCGCTGCTTTGGTCTCTGTCTGTAGGTAATCACCACTCTGCTTCAGCAGATTCATCATTGACCCTATTTATAAAGACTTTACCTCATTGTGGGACAATGTGGTATTTTGCTTTTATAGAAGTCAAAGTGAAGAAAATATGTGCTTCATTATAAATTTAGTAATTCTGTTGGCAAAATACCACATTCATGAATGTAAATTCAGCAGTACAAAATCTAATTTTGTACTTTTTCTCCATGAAGTTGTGCTTTATATTAATTTGATTTCTGGCTCCAACAACAAAAAGGCAATTAAAACTGTCAACATATGGTCCTCTCTCTCTTTGTAACAGCCTTTAAGCTTCCCCTGGCAATCTTTATATCATTTATCTGTATTTGTGCATTGTTATGTTTATCTTTGTAAGTCACATCTGAATTGTAACCCCATTTCTGCAATAAAGATGACTTAAACAAACAAACAATGCTCAATGTCCCGCCCACAGCACTGATGATTTGATCAGCAGCCCAGTGTTCCTGTTTTCATAACAAAACAAAAAAACATTTCAAAACATCCCTCCCTCTGTTTTATTCACAAGCTCCATAGATTTCAACGGCAAAATAAATGTGCAGTTATTTACTAGTAACTAAAAAATAGTTACTCGTGACTAATAAATAAGTACTAGTAACTTTTAAATAGCGTCTACTAAGTTTTAAGGAATAACGTTTGCCGTAGGCGTTTCTTCACTGATCACCTGTCTGTCTGTTTGTACAGCAGTATGGCCGTCAGCTCTCTGCTCTCCTGCAGGAGGCGCCACCGAGCAGCGCTCTTTGGTTTGTAGCACTCAGCGACGCAGCATTCAAGTCGCATGGGAGAGACGGGAACTACGAGCTTCTAGAGTCCCTCATCGGCACTCTCATTCTGCAGCCAATCACTGCTTATTACAGGTGAAAGGGGCGTGGTCAAGCTCCACTGGTGTAACACGGAAACACCCAAATATGTCTGTTACTATAAAAACTGCTTCTAATTAAAGATAATTATCTATCAAATTGGTTAACCTGAGTTCAGCGTGTTACGCACTTCCCATGCAACATGAATGCTGCCTTGGTCAAGCTAGGCTAGGCTAAGCTAATACTTTCACCTGTGCTAAACTTGGGCCTTGTGCAACGTATTAGCCTGGAAAGCTAAATAACCACTCATTGCTCCCTGCTCAGGCTATCTGACTAGCCCAAGCTAACACAGACCTCTCAGGCTGAACCGGGCTAGTTAGCCTCCTGGGCTAACAGCGGCTAAAAGAGAGTCTGTTTAAAAACAAACATCCATCCTGCCCAGGATAAACAAACCAACATACTCCATCTTTAAGTAATTTTTTTTTTTTTTTTTTTTTTTTTTTTTTTTTTTTTTTTTTTTTTTTTTTTTAACCTGTCCTGCCCAGCAGCCTGGTATAGAGTATAATGACCTGGATACCATATTGTGCCAGACAGATTTTACTTTAACAAGAGAGTATTAAAATACTCCTTTGTCTGTTTTATTATTTATTTAATTATGTATTGATTTGTCACCGGGCCGGACAGGGGGGCAGACACGGGGATGGGGGGGCACAAACAGACAGCACAGAGAAAGGACAACACCTGCAAGAGAAGGGGGAAAGGGGGATGGAGGGTGGGGACAACAGGGAAAAGCTGTGGGAAACACCAATTGCAGAAAGCAACGAAACCTGCAAGAGAACAGAGAGGGGGGCTTGGGGAGGAGAAAAACAACAACAAACAAACACAAACAAAAAAAAACAATAAAAATAATAATAATAGTAAAAGAAAACCAGCCGAACAGCAGCAATAAACAGCTGACATATTAATGACATATTAAGACAACTAAGAGAACAATGAAAACAAGAAACAGTCACACACACTAAATAAGCAACACAACACAGCCACGAGAGCTGGAATAATAATTAATTTAAATAAGTAACTGAAAGAAAGGCATCAGGAATAATTCTACCAGGGACAACCTAAGTTTGTTTGTGTCTGTGTGGGTGAATGTGTCTGTATGTGTGTGTATGTACATGTGTGTGCGCATAAGCCTGTTAAAGAATGTAGTTGTTAGAGAGAGTGGGACGCCACGACTGTAACAGGCAGGCAAGAACCCCAGTAGCCAATAGGGGTGGAAGAAAGAAAAAGAATAAATCAAATCAAAAAAAAACAAAGACTCCCAGATGCACCGCGATGCAAACGCAGAAGACCCCGACCCAAATGCCAGTTGACAACGTAATGCCGACGGAACGCAAAAGAGGAAGAGCAGCGCCCGGACCGACCGCGGCGCAGACACAACATAGACCAGTGGCCTCCCCCATCCAGCACCCCACCGCCGCGCAGCAAACAACCACAATGCCCAAATGCCACGCAATCATCAACACCAATGCACAAGTGACGAGCCCAACGCGCACACTGCGCGAGCACAGCGACACCCATGCCCAGCAGCCCCCCGCGAATCCCGCGTGCGAGGTCGGGCAAATGAGAGAGAGCAAACGGAACAACACGACAGCGAAAGCCAGCGGAGAGAGACACCAGCAGCAAGTCCCAGCCCGGCAGCAAACGCGCCGCACAGGTCACCGTGCACCCGCCAATAAAAGTCCACCGTCCCCCCAACCGCCGGAAAAAACTAAGGCCGCCGGCGCCAGCCGACATCCCCCATGCCCAGCGCGCCCCCCGGCCGCCATGCAACACCAGCCAAACCAGCAACGAGGCAAAATCAACTAGCTCAGCTGCATGCCACCAACAACCCACCCATCCATCAAGGGCCGAGAACTCCAGGCACAAACCCAGAACAAACCGGAGCACAGCCCTGCCCCGCACCCACACTGCACATCCCGAAAACTAACTATAAACCTCAGTATCCAGAGGGGTCCAACAACTGGCCGACAGAGAAATGGGCAAGCACTCCATCTTTAAGTAAAAAAACAGCTTCAACAGGAGACTTCTGCTAACAGTAGCTAGCCGCGTGGGCGGGGCTAACACTTCGGCTTTAAGGCACCTCGTTATAAATGACCGAGACAAGAATATCAGCAATCAATGAAATCAATAAAACTAAATCATTAAGTAATAAACTTCCATCCTGTTTGACAACCAGCTAAAAAAAAAAAAACTAGCTAAAAGAATCCACTTTTCCTAAAACAGCTAACCCATGCTAACGTAAAGGCTAGGCGCTACACACACACACACACACACACACACACACACACACACAGCAGGATTGAAGATACAGGATGTGTGTGACGCTGGTTGGTGTGTGACGGGATGACACACACACACACACGGTACTCTACAGCATCAGGACCGCCGTGTGTCCCGTAGCCAATCAGAGACCTCCCTGGGGTCCGAGGTCAGATGGGGGTCTCCTTGTTGTTGTTTTTGAGGTCCGGTGCGCTGAACTGCCGTCTCATCCGAGGGGGGGTGGTGAAGCCCCACCCCCCCTGCGGCGGTCCCACCCGCAACAGCATGTCAGGCGGAGGGGGCGGGATCCCGGAGCGCGGCAGGCTGTGGTAGTTGGGGTGAGGTCCTGGCTGGAATGGTGCATTGTGGGGGTTGAAGTAGGGATGGTGATGGTACTGATGGTGCTGGTGTTGATGGTAATTAAAGCCTCCGTCTCTGTCTCTGTCCCTCCCTCCTCCTCCTACTCTCCCACCTCCTCTCTCCCCTCCTGGCCCGGGCGACACCCCCTCCTCTGTCTCGGTCGCCCCTGGTGACCACCGCCGCCGTGATGCTGGTCGTTTTCGTAGTTGCTGCTGCCGTGGGTGGAGCTGTCCAGAGAGTTGCGGCGGTAGCGGCGCTGCTGGTTTTGGTTGTTGCCCTGGTGGTGGTGGTAGAAGAAGCTGCCCTGGTTACCCTGGTTGCCTTGGTTGCGCTGTTGCCAGGCGCGATGAGGGCTGGGGGTGCGCATGCGAGGGGGCGGGGGCACAAAGGGGAGGGGCAAGAGACCAGGAGATGGACCCTGAAGGAGAGGAGGAGGTGAGGGAGAGCTTTTACCCTCCACTCCTCCTCCTCCTTCCTCCCTCTGCTCTCCCCCATCCCCTCCTCCTCCTCCCCCCCAGACCCAGAGCCTGCAGGGCGGCACTGGCTGGTCCCCATGACAACCTGTGGGCGGGGTTACTCTTAAAGGGGAACTTGAGCTTGCATTCCTGTGGAGGGATGAAGCGGCCGGTTCCAGGGAGATGAACGGGGACAACGGGGGAGTTCGGACCTGCAGGAGGGGGGAGACAGAGGACGTCAGTCATATCAACAAAAACACTTCCTGCTACACATCAGCTCGCCATGACCACCTCATTCAGCGTTTCCCCTACCAAAGGAATGACAAAAAAATATATAATTAGGTGGACTGAATCGTGGAATCTGCTAAAATGTTGATGCAATTTATAAAACAGGATTTCCAGCATTATAAGCGTTTCAGCGAGGGCGGGGCTTGGCATCTCCTCCACACACAGACACGTAGTCATATCGAAGGCGGCGCACTAGAAAGAGCTCATCTCTTCAACCAGAGACGTTTTGTTTTAACAAAGTCTCTGAAGTGCAACCACATCAGCAGATGCAAGAAGCGAACTCATTGTAGCTTTCGTGGCTGTGTGGGCGGAGTCAGATATTCTGTTCTGAAAAATTTTATATTTAGGTCCAGTTTTGTAAACAAGGAGGAGCGCTGCCGATATAGTATTAGTATATAGTATAGTATTTTAACATCCTTCTGTTGAAGACACATTCATTGTGAACATACATTTGAATATTTCTAAATGCATATTTGCATGATACATCAAATTCACTGATAGGGATTCAAATTGTAATATTGTCTTTTTGAATTGTTTGTAAAATAAAGATTTGAGAAAAATTTTAACGGAAAACTCAGAATTTCAGAAATAATTTAATGGAATATGGCAAAAATAAAATAACAGATTTCATTATTTGGCCCTATCCACGGTCTGGTCGTCCAACATCTGAGTGCAAACTAACTCGTAACTTTAGCGGTAAAAACGCTGAAGGTGACGAAGCTAAACACGCAACGCAACTTTGTGCTGTGATGACGCCACGTATCCGTAACCCGCTCTGCGACACTAGTAGTTTCTACCAACCCCCCCGTGATGGTTTGGGTTTTGGGATTTCCACGATGCCCGCTGTTTATTAGTAACACATCAACCTTATTAGCCCGCTTGTCCGTCTTCTGTCCTATCATACATGAGGAAAACTTCAGCTACATGTCTTCCAAACATTACTCGTCATGATTTGAGAGACAAGCAGCTCAGCAACAGGTATCCACTCCCTGCAGACGTCTGATGACGTTTCTCTCGCATCTAGGCAACACATTTCACAGTTTCGGCTGTTACTCCCCCCCTGAAGAAAATCCCCGGGGAAACACCGTTATTCCTAACAAACATTTTATCTGTGAACGTTCAGCGTTGGCTTCATGTGACACCTGAACCCACTGACCCTGGGTTTGGTTTTGTCCCCGCAGTTTCTTGGTGATGTTCTGCTGCTGCAGGTTCAGGATTCGCTGCTGCTCCTGTTTCAGCCAGCGGAGGCGTCCCCTCCTGAACGCCGGGTCCTCGTCCATCAGCTGCTTCACTCTGACCTCCGGCTTGTGGGGGGCGTCCCCGTCCCCGTCCCTCTGAGGTGACTCGCCCTCTTCGCCATTCACATCATCGTCCTGGAAACGAGAGGAGATCAGAGAGGACTCAGACGGCGGTTACTGGAGGACTGATGATCAGCTGACCAGGGCGTGATGTGTGAACGCACCTGCACAGGTATGATGCTCTCCATCTTGATCATTCTGTCTCTCAGAGCTTTGATCTCCTCGTCCTTCATGTTGTTCTGCAGCTTCACCTCCTGGAAGAGTCAGAGACGTTTATTTTATCAGGAGTCTCAACAACTGTCGGTTTGGACTGTGATGAAATGAGGTTCAGATGGTTTACGTTCTTCGCTTGAAGCTAAATGTTCCTTCAACAACATACTTTTATTCTGTGACTCGTTAACATTAACCAGAAAACTCACCTCCAAAATATCGGTCAGTTTATCGATGTGAGCCTTCAGGTCATACACGTTTTTCTTCTGTCCACCCTCCCCTGTCTCTCCTCCTCCTCCCCCTCCCCCTCCTCCTCCTCCCTCCTCTGTGGGGGGGCTCCTCTCCTCTCCGATGCCCACGGTGTCGCAGACGTCCTGGGCCACGGCCCTCCAGCTCTCCCTCTCGTTGGTGTCTTTCTTGGAGTACATGCGGCAGAGCTCCTTCATCTTGACGATGGACAGAGCTTCGATCTCCTGACGGGAGTGACGGAAGTCTCCCAGAGCCACCTGAAGGGGGCGCCACACACACAGGGGAACACATTTATAAACACCAACGCTGGGTTTACAGGGGAAATCAAGCCTTTTAAAAAATATAAAATTGTCTTTTCTGTTTCTGCTTCTCCTGAGACAGAAAATAAGTAATTTCTTGTTCACTTAACAAATAACACTCACTAATTGTTGCTACTGTCTTTAACACAAAACCCCTTTCTTGTGCCCAAGAGCCCACAATTACTCAAAAGAACAGAAGTTAGTGTTTTTGAACTCTGTGATAATGTAGAGCTGCTCTGAGAAGTGTTTACTCTCACTGATGCTGAACCAAACTCACAGAGGCACAAACACTTTATCTTAAACAAATGTTGACACGGTGATAATGGGATGTTTATAAAATGTACATTGCTTAAAATGATCCCATCACAAATAAATACATTACAAAAACATTAGTTCAACATTTTGGAAATTATACTAATTTGCTTATTGATGAAAACTTGTCATTTTCACATTTAAAAGTGCAGATGAAACAAAGAGCTTGATAATTTGTGAGCTTCAGAGGTGTTTGAACTCTTGACCGAGCCAGGCTAGCAGTTTCCCTTTGTTTACAGTCTTTATGCTAAGCTAGGCTAATCTGGTCCTCACTCCAGCTGTGTACTCAACACACTGACTGATCAGACTGACACCAATCTGAACGTCTCGCTCTCTGAAAGCTTTTCCCAAAATGTTGAACTTTTCCTGTTAAACTGCTGCAGACACCGAGTGTGTGAGATTGTGAGAGTGTGTGGACCTCATAGCAGATCTCTTTGACGGCCTGCATGCGGAGGTCCTCCATGGTGACCCGTTTGGGGTCTTTGCTGATCCTCCTCCTCTGAGGGATCTGATAGACTCTGAGGGGCTCCCTCCTCTTCCCACTGCTGGGCAGACCGCAGCGCTTCACTATAGACTGCACCTGGAGACAGGCGAGACAGAGACAGAAAAAAAGATGTCCATAGATCCGAATTGGGAAACGGGGAGAATAAATGCTTTGTATTAAGCAAATAATTAACAGGGAATTATAGAGAAGAAGAAAAGAAAACAACCCCAGAGCCAATGGGAGCGGATAATTCAGCTGCCTTTAATAGAGACGATTTACAAAGAGCTAAAAGAACGAGGAGGAAGTTGTGGCTCACAGCGTAACTCACTGGATGCAACATAATACTTAGCAGATTTTTTAAAGCCCAGACACAGACTTACCTTGTTGGCAGGTAGTTTCTCTCTCAGGGAGGAGATCAGCCTCCAGCTCTCCTCACAGGAGCGTTTGTCCGAGTCGTCACCGCTGTCACTGTCTGCATACTGAGCGCGCGCACACACACACACACACACACACACACACACACAGAGTACATGATTATCAGTGAACGGTTAGCTACCAGATACGCTGCTGCAAATCAAACTAACAGAAACATACCAGTCTGTGTTGCTCCAGCAGCAGATCAGCCTCCTCCTTCTCTTTCCGGTACTGAATCTCCATGTCCTGCAGTCTGCGACACACACCGACCGATCGATCAATTAACCGACACATCCATCTACCAATCAGGCCTCAATCACACAGAAACTTAGCGAATGTGAGAAAGTATCAAATAACAGGGTGACGTCTCCAAATCTCCAAAACGTCCAGTGTATTACGATGTAAAACAGAGAGACCCTCACGTTGAGGAATATGGTCAGTTATTATTGATTAATGGTCTTTGGACGGGTCCCATCTCTACCTCTTCTCCATCTCCAGTTTGATGTCGATGCCCTGCTTCTCCAGCAGCTCCTTCTGAGCGTAGTTCCAGTCCTCCGGCTCCTCCTGCTGCTCGGCCGTGACGCTGCGCTCTCTCTCCAGCCGCGCCTGCTCCGGGTGGTTAAACCGGAACACGTGGTTCTTCCCCATCACGATGCGGTTCCCTGTGAGGAGGTAAGTACGGCCTTATTTATAACGCACAAAACACGTCCGAGTGGGTCGTAGTAAAAGCATTTAGACCCAAATATCAAACAACAAGCGCTCTATAAATGAGTTTTTTTAGTGCAGTATACTACGAACATGACAAAGGAACAGTGTGCAGCGTCTCTGCTGTGACACAGTTAGAGACCAGCTGGTGAACACAGTGGAGCGTTCAGCAGCTAGAGAGACAGTTGTTTCCCTGAGGAGCTGATGGAGACTAAAAACAGATTCACTGTGGTTGTACAGAGACAGTCTGTCAAATAACCTACAGCGTAGAACCCAAAATCCTTCCACACTCTGCTTCTCAGCACAGCTTTGTGAACACGTTACTGTAATAATAATAATTTAACTAGTTTAACTAGTAACGTCAGGGATAACTTTCCAAACACGTATGTGTGACTGTGCAGCAGGTCAGGGATGGTTAAAGTCAGCTGCGAGCCAAAAAGCTAAACGAATAACAGAGAACAAGAGAGAGGGTGTGCAGGGGTCGGCAAATAAGTTTAGCATCGGGCAAAAAAAATTTCAAGCCACGCGCCAAATTATTTGAAAACCCTTGGATTCTCCTGTGCACGTTTAGCTCAGGCGCCAGAGTGTGGGTCTCTTGCTGGGTCCCAAAATACTGCAGACTTTTTTTGCCCTGCCTCGTTAAACAAATATATTATAGGGACACTTTTGCACATGCTCACAATAAAGCATGTGCTGCAGTGTGTGTGTGTGTGAGCGCCTCCCAGCGTTTGATCCGCATTCATAAACCTCTGGACGCTTATTTTCATTTCCCTGAGGACATTCAGGGGAATCCAATCGCACGTTTACTGACGGCTTTTTCAGAGGTGTGTCAAGCCAGAAACTCTTCTGAATGTCCTTCAGAACTTTTCAAAGTAAAAGCTCTCAGTAAACTCAACATGAAGCATTGCTGCAAAAAAACTTTGTTGCTGTCATGACTGAGATCTATTTCAGCACCAGCCGGCTATCAATTTATTTTTTTTCTGCTATCAAAGCAGTCTGGCCGCCTGCTGCCGACCGCTGCAGTGCAGCATTCTCTGGCCTGAGAGGCTGCTGTGTTTTCAGTTTGGCTGGTTGTTGACTCCTCAGGTTATTTATTGTTCCAGTGAAGTAGATTCATTTCTAAACAGCTGCTGAGCAGGCTGTTTTCTCATAGAAAAAACTGACGTAACGAGTAACATAACTAGTTAAATACCCAGAAAAGAAATCCTATTACTCTTTGAAGGACTAATGATTCCTGAGTATCTTGCCCAACACCGGTGCTGTCCTCCTCTGTTTCTATTGATTAGCTTTGGCTACTGATTAGGTTGATGGGGCTGCAGAGGTCAGGCTGAGTTTTAAGAGCGTCCTCTGCTGCACACAGACGTGCAAACTACTTCTAACGCTCTGTTGAGTTTATCGACTGTAAAACTTGAATTCAAACAGGTTGTTCAAATATTAAACTTTTACCTCACGTTCACACTGGACTTTTAGTGTTTTTAAATAAAATGTGACCTCAGTCACCTGTTTCACCATCATACCTGCTAAAGTATGAAAAAAAACATGTTAGTTTAGAAGTGCGAAACGTCTCCTGACAGCCCGCCGTCACATACAGAGACATTTTACTACCAACAGGAAGATTTAACACCTTTGTTCATTTAACTTCTGACTAAATTCGATGCTTCTAGTCGAGACCTGCAGGCCGCTGTGTTAAATGTTGGCACCTTGTTTGAGGACGACAGCTTCGGTGATCTGCTTCCCGTTGACGTACGTCTCCGCTCCGACCAACGGCTCCAGAGTGACGACCACTGCAGAGAGACAGAGAGGCGGGCCGAGTTTAACCAGCAGGACGCTTTAACTCGAGCACACGCAGAACAGAACAGATGGGTTCACAGTCAAACACACACACACACACACACACACACTGAGGGGAGGGTATGAAGGGCGGCATGGAGGGGGGGCACAGGAAACATGGGTGTGAATATGAAGGCGACTAGTAGCACTGACTGTTAAACTATACCTGACAGATTTCCTGGCAGCTTTTACAGAGAGAGAAAAAGAAAGAGAGTCACTCAGTGACACACACACACACACACACACACACACACACACACACACACAGCCGCTGTCTGTAGTTTCTGCTTTAAGCTTTAATTTAACTTTGACTATTTATTAAATGCTAATTAATAACTTGTTACGAGTAATGGCTTCAACTGAAGAAGACACCTGCATCATTAAATGTATCAGGATAAATGACTTAATTTCTTTATCTACATAAAAATATAGGACATCGAATACATAATGTTTTTAGTAAACAGTAAAATCAAACCTTTTTTCGTTTGACAGTGAACCAACTAATATATGAATTTTAAAACTGATTCATTGATTCTTTTTTACTTTTCCTGGTTCCCACAGTTCTTGTACTCATGTGCACCAAAGTTTAGGTTGTTGTGTAAAAGCACTGAGGTTTTACTGTGTAATTATAAAACGTTCTGGGGCAAAACCTCTCTAAGATGTGCTTTCCAGTATTTCAAGAAATAAAGTTCTTTTTAACAGATTATCTGTTGGAGCCACTGAGATGTACACGAGCGACCACGAGTGAGGGAATTTTAATTTGATCTAGAAAATGTCTCAGCGTTCACTTGTAGCAGATGGCAGTTATATATTTATTTCCTCATCGTTATTTACATCATCCCCTGACCTGCTCGCCTCCGACTCAGAAAGTAACCTGTGTTTGATTTAGCTGCTGCTGCAGGCCGACTTACATTAAACCTAACCTCAAAGTGTCATGCAGCTCATCTGTTGTGAATCAAGTCATCATGTCTGCATTAAAGCTGCCGCGTCTAAGCTTGGGTTAAACATCATTCACACCATAAACAAAAAGAAAAGAGAAGAAACAGAAGCTGAAAATATCCCAGCGGGAAAGTTTCACTTCAAAACAATTTGAAACATCATCATCACTCGTGTTACTTTACGTCTCTTACAGAAGAACATCAGTGTTCATAAAACACTAAGAAGTTCAATAAAACACAGGTTTTAGTTCCTCCTGCAGTGAGAGACGCAATTTCTTACAGAGTCTTCAGGTCTGATGTGTGAAGCACTTCTTAGAGCTGGTGCAGGTAACGTTGGAGAAACTAGAGACCAACCCCCCCTCCTTCCTTTAGGCACACATCCAAAGCTACTCCCCCAAAACACATGTTCATGAACAGTGAGTGCACGCAGGCAGGCCAACCAAGTCCGAACAGCTACTGACACCAGATTCTCTTCATGTTTGTGTCAGGGCGTTTGATTTATTGACTGCTGTCGGTATGTAAAGAGATGATAAAACACGGAGTACCCCGGCTTTAAGCTAAAGAAGGTTCATGAGATGGAGTTTATGATCATCATTATGAGCTTCCTGTGACTCGAGGTCTTTCAGATGTCTGAGCTGCAGCTGCGCCAGTCTGACCACCAGAGGGCGATCCAAGCCCACTCACTGACTGGACGTGGCTCCTTCTGACAGATTGTCAGATTGACAGATTATTAATTGTCTGATTTCAGTTAAAGAAATGCATTAAATTAATCAGTTCATTCCAGTGTTTCTGCAACAGCACTGACTTTATTTATCAGGTATCAGCTCGACGTGAGCGACACAAAACAGGAGCTTCGTTATCTCGTTGGTTATGTGACAAACAGTTTGTTTCCACATAGATCTCTTACTTAAATACTGGCTGTAGTTAGAAGACGGTCTTTTAAGTCTTGTTTTGTACTGATGTATCAAAAAATAAAAACATCATGCAGGCGTCTCACCTTCTCCCTGATCGTTGATCTCGCTGACAAACACACAGTGAATCTCCTTTATGAAATGTCCGGACAGCTTAATGTCCACATCCTGCTGTCCAACCCTGAGACACAGACAGACAATAAGCTGTTACACTCTTAGGAATCACGCTGACATTAAACTAGAGCTGCAAAGATTAATCCATCAACAGAAAATTCATCTGAAACTACCTGAATAATCGATTAATTCTAGTTTCAAGCAAAACAAATCATGGTAAACTCTTCTGTTGTTTTACAAACTGGACAACAAATGAATGAATCAGGAGAATAATCAGTAGATTGATTAACAATGTAAATAAGTGTTGGTTGCAGCTCTACAGTAAACTAATGAAAGCGCCCTGACCTGGTGAATCCCTCCTTGATGTAGTAGAGGAGACACTCGGACATCAGAGGGTCTTCGTTCAGGTTGACCAGGTGAGGCGTCTGGAAAAACATTTTAAGAGCTTTATTTATTTTTTATTCTTCAACACCTGAAAAAACAGTCTGGCCACACGTTAGCAGCAGCGACGGAGCAAAGCTTCCAGTCAACATTCGAATATCAGAGTCACTCATCTACTTATCACTGGATCAGTTTATCTGTGCAGCTGGGAAACACTTCAAACAACGTGAGGAGTGCTGGAGATGTTACAGAGCAGGTCACAGGGACGTTAAAGCTTCTTGTCTATACGTGATTACATCAGTGAGTAACAGCAGCGTCATTATATCAGCCACACGTCTTGTGCTGCTGTACAGCGCTGCGATAAGCCTCGCAGCTATTTACACCATGTGTTGATCAGAGAACACAAGACACAGTGATTACATGCTGATTTATATTGTATAGAAAACGCAGACAGTTTTATCCACTTCAGTTGCTCCGCTGTTTGGCTGCATGTGTGTTTGAGGCATTGCCAAAGAAACAGATGAGCTCCACAGTTCAGTCACAGCTGATGGGTCAGCGAGCACTTTAACAGCAGTCACAATAACACAATGCAGATCATTAACTCTCCGGCTACAGTGGCCGTCATTACACACATGAGTGGAACCAGAGGGAAGCCGGGGCCCTCAGAGCGTCTCACAGCATTACATTACAAAAAAGGACAATAAAACTTCACTAACTCAGGAAACAACTCGTTCAGAGGAGAGTCAACAGAAACTAAAGATAATGAAGACAGGAGATGTTTGAGAAAGAGAGACGGGTGGAAACTCACTCCTTTAGGAGAGAAGACGCCCAGCGTTCCTCCATCTTCTTTAATGGACACGCCCATCTCTGCCAGCAGGGACTCTCTGGGCGAGAGACACAGACAGAGACATCATTGATCAGGCTCTCTCACCCACCTTACAGTTTGTTGTTGTCATTTACATTCTCAGTTCTGATTGGTCAGTTATTTTTTACATTTACTTTACTTCTTGGGGAAAAAAAAAATAAAATTAATGGCACTTTTACTTCCAGAACCCGGAGCGGCTAAGATATCTCCGTCACAGCTTCTGTCACCCTCCCTCCCCCCATCAGAGCAACAAGCGCTACGGCGGCGTTGTGATCATGTTATTACTAAGTAGCGTTCACATTGAACGGCAGCCTGTATGTGTGAACAGGTGGTTGGACGCGCAAGTGCAGCAAAAACTACAACTAAACTGACACAACACAACCACCGGTACAGTAGTCAAAGTTAAAGTGAATCATTATTTTTGCACAATGTTTAAAGCAGCCGGAGCTGCTCTGAAACTGGAACTTGAAAAGCAACAACTTCAGCTCAACAATACAGACAGCGAGACAGAAAACTGCAACAACCTGAACTTCAGTCCAGTTACACCTGCAAGTAGAAGTAAAACTATTAATTACAACCACGATAACTGCAGTTAAACTGAAAGAAACCTTAGTTTTACCTCTCCAGACGAATAGATTCTGTCTTTCTTAGTTTCTCTTCCCACGTCTCGTTGAGCTCTGCGATAATCTTCTCCGTCTCCTACAACACAAACAACGGAGAGGAGGCCACATTAGTGTGACCGCCGGGTCCACGAGTGAAGTACCAGGAGAATCAGCCTCTGATCCTACCATCAGCCTCTCTGCCGCTTCCTCTTTACTGATGGGCTCCGTAGACTCCGCCTCGTCTCCTTCCTCTCCGTCCTCGATCAGGTGGTCAGGGTCAGCAGGCGCGCCGCCTGCAGACGCCGGCTCGGCACCTGCAGAGGAAGAAAAAGCATTTAGAAGAAGCAGGACGACTAAAATCTGTGTTAGGTGAACAAAACAAAGGAAGAAATAAGGAAATGAAGAAGAAAGAGCCAGAATCAAAACAAAATTTCCTGTCTGTCTCTAAAACATTAACACACTAAATAAGGGTTAAAATGCGAAGAAGAAACAAATATTGACATCACATTTCATTTCATACATCAAACTGTCACCAAAACACACACACACATAATACAGTCACCTGAAGGGGCGGAGCCATTATTCTGTGCGAGCCCATTGGCTGTGAGTGCAAGCTTCAGCGGGGAGGGGGACACACCTGCAACACCGCCGGGGCCGTTGTTGTTGTTGTTGTTGACTTTAAGAGAGAGAGAGAGAGAGTCATAGAGCGAGAGCAGACGCGGAGTCAGGTTTCATTTTTTAACAAGTTGGCATTTCTGCTATGCTGCTTATGTAAAGAACAGCTTGTAAATACACACACACACACACACACACACACACAGTTGCTGTTTGTCTTTAAATACCCGCCTCTAAACATACTGCGCATACACATGCCACACATACCATGTTTAAATACACAATAAACACACAACAGCTGTCTGTTCCATGTACATCTGTACAGCAGTATTACGCATGAACATTAAGTTTTTTGTGCGTAATATTTATTTTATTATTTAATAAGTAAATCATATAATGTGTGTAAATCACACACGCTACATAATATTACACGTATTTACCACAATAGAGTTTACAGCATTACAAGTGTTGCCAGAATATGTATTAATAATCATGAGTTTATACTATAATATATTGTACAGTAAGTCTAGACAGTATATTGTGTACTGTAACGTGTATATATCAGCCATATATCACCAGGTTATTATACATACTGAGCCTTGTGTGTACCAGTATTATGTAAATATAGTCATAGTACACACCAGTACAATACATAGTGTATAAAATGTGTATATACCGGCGTTGTCCAGCAGCTCCTGCAGGCCCTGGGAGAACAACAGGTTTCTCAGATGTTCCACTTCAGCCTTCAGCTCTCTGATTAGTTTGGCGTTTGGATCTTCATTGATCACAGCGTTACAACGGATCTGTTTGGCGCGGTCAGCATACCTGGAACCACGTCAGACAGAGGTAAAAACACGGACCGATCTCAGCCTCACAGCGAGATAAGATAAGATGATCTGGGAGGGATCATATAAATCATACTGGCACTGCAGCACAGGGGGAATGTAGAGCAAAGTTAAAAGAAGAACACAACACAAGAAATCAGAATCAGTGATCGTCAGGATCAAATATCTGAAATATATACACACATGTCCAAATCAAAATAGAGTCCATCAGCAGGAATATTTCTGTTTGGTGGCCTTATTATCTAAACACACCGATTGCATAACACTAAAATTACACTACAACATATTTACTTCGGTTAGATTTCACTAATCTGTGCACGATGAAACCTGATTGACACTCGATTGGTATCTGACCTCAGGGTGCTCAGTGTTTCTTCATAGTTGATGTCAGCAGGACTTAGAGCAGCAATCATGGCCGTCCGAGAGTTCCCTCCTGAAACACATTAAAACTTTCACATTATTTCAAAACCTTTTCTATTGTCAGAGGTGCCTCTCAAAGTATCAGCCTTGTTTATGTAGTGGTTCTATAGTATAGTTACTACGAGCCCTGAGAGCAGCGCAGGTACTTGTAGATTAGGACTAGAGGCTCGGAAACAGCAGCGAGCGTGCAGCGGTGTGTTGACAGCAAACAGTTGGTGGAGTTACGCTAAATACTGGGCCCAAAGTTGTTGTTTTAAGTTTTCATCAGTCAGAAAGTTTTTACACAGCGCCGGAGTCGGTCTCCTCCTCCCCAAAACAAGCGGAGCAGCTGATTACAGCCGGTAATAAAGCTCATTAAACATCACGCTCCTCTGACCCTCAGGCGGACACAGACGAGTGCAGCAGCTGGCCGCAGTCTGTCATTATATTCCAGTCAAACCTGATGTTCATTTATAAATGTTGCTCATGGATAGAGGTTACAAATAATGATGCCTGTGCACCTTTTAGTTCCTTGACCAGAGATCTGGGGAATTAAAAGTCCCCAGCTAGTCTTTGTAAAGCTAGATCTAGTAAAAGACATGGGAGGAAGTAATTGTTAAAGCACTTAAACTGCTAATCCTGAATAGTAGAGTTGTACTTACCCAGGTTTTCCTTCAGTAGCCAGGTGAGAACAGAGTCTCTGTAGGGAATAAAATCACTTTTCCTCTTCTTATTGCTCTGCTGCAGAGGACAGAAAAAGGGCAGTCACTCATCTTTATAACTTCTCAGAGCCAGGAACTTTGTGCATTTTCTGATATTATATAACCCGAGTATAAATATCAAGTGTGTGCTGACTAGTCGACCGATTAATCGCCTGCCGTGGAACGTTCTCAGTCACTGTCGTCTCGTCTAAATTTTACCAGGTTTCTCCTAAATGACAGCAGCTCTAATCTAAATCTTTTACTGGTTAGAGTTAAATATATACTGTTACACTGCAGAGAATAATGCATCTGAATGACGCCATGTTCTGAAATCTCCAGCAGAACTCAATGTATGCAGGAATAACGCAACTGTACGTGAGTTTTCTTTGTTTTGATATCGGCATTATATATCGGCCGCCCTGTCCTCTAAATATCGGCATCAGCTCTTGACACATATCAGTCGACCACTAGTGTTGACCTACCATTTCGGCCAAAGCTGATATCACTTTTCCCAACGTGGTCAAAGATTTATTGATGTTCGCTCCTTCCTGCACATGAACATAAAGTAACACAAAGTAAATGCACAGTAAACAAAGTGCGTGTGACAGTTTGTGTGTTAAAATGTGCAACCAAATGACAAGAACATTTGGATAAACATCGGTGAGATTTTAGTCAAGTGTGACATTTCTGACCTTGAGTCGAGTGCCTTTGGCCCCCGAGGAGTCCGCTCGCTCGCTTCCAGCCAGGTCGACCAGACTGATCTTGCTGACCTGAAGATAAGAGTTTCATCTTTAAGTCCTTGTTAAATACAACCCGTTGTACTGCGAATAACAACAGCAGTACTGTAAGGTAGTCCTCACAAGAGCACACCGTGTGGTCACGAGGACCGTAGGAATACTCCGGGTCCTCACAAAGAGCAAAACACACACACACACACACACACACACACCTTCTCGGTGTCCAGGCTGGTCATCTGGTCTCGTCTTTTTTGGGTGAAGACGATGGTGAAGACAGCATGTGACCTGGACGACGTCTCATTCATGTTTGTGGCCGCAACCGTCCTGTAATCAATAACCATTCGGGTATAAATTATCAATCACTGACAATCCAGACTGGTCTCCTTCATGTTAGTGGATCTATCTATTTAGAAGAGGAAAATAAAAGATAAATGCAGCATGTTTATTTCACTGTTGGGGATTATCACTTTGTCACGTATGAATTTTGATTTATCATCAGCCACAGATTGACTACAGTTCCCAGAATTCCTTTCAACACCCTCAAAGACGAGGGTTTCCCAGTGGAGCGCATTCTAAACACAGCTTATATTTATGTGATTCCCTATATTTCCCAGAATGCCTTTTAACAACCACCAAAAGTAGACGTGAACCTGTTTAAAGTTTGGCCTTCAAAGCAACAGGAGAGTCATCAAGTTCTACTTAACTGAAACATCCTCGCTCACTGTACATACCAACTACTGTAGATAAAAGAAAAACACAGGAGAAAACTGACGACGTGCACAGATTACACCGGTTGTCCCATTTATTTTCTATTTCACTTCTACTAAACTGTTGTTTTCTTACATCCATGCAAAGAAAAAGCAACAGCAGAGGACAAATTTCACTGCCGAGTTCACCCTCTGCCCCCATGAGCACCTGTTCACCTCGGCCATGTGAGGTGAACAGGTGAGTGCAGCTGCTTCTAACCGCATCCTTCACACCCTCCACCAAAGTGCCAATACAAATGAAGAACATGAATATGCAAAATCTTACATTCATGGCTCCTACACCAACTGGCATTTCAACTTTCACCACCTCAAATGCTTTTACCAGGAAAATGTCTAGTGACAGTTCAACTGCATTAATCTCTCATCCTTCAGCTTTTCAAGTGCTTTTCATAATTTAGTTTATCTGCTTTCAGCACTTCGACTCAACTGAAACTTAAAACAACATTATGTGGTAATTTAATGTTAAAGCAACAGCTTCAGAATCATTTTGTTGGTCCACTGACCCTGGCAGCAGGGTGAATGGCGTCTCCGTCAGCACCACTCTCTGAGCGCCTGGTATTAGACTCTCACAGGCAGGAAACCTTTCGTGGCAACGGCTTAATGCTTCATGGCAACACGTCAAACACCAACACGACTCTTCAGGAAGTAAGCTACAACAGTTCCCGCTGTTTTCTAGAGACCATTTTCCAGAACATTTTCAGTGATGATCTACCTGCTATGACAGACAGGGAACACGTCGTTCACCAATATGTTCCTCTCTGGTTTAAAACGGGTTGAGATGGAAAACATTCATCTATAAGTTTCCAGCCACCTTTAGAGGATGATGCAACCTACATTATTCAGATTGATTTAATGTCATCCAGCAAGATTTTCCGGGACATTTTACTTTTTCCTCTCATTTTCCATGTGTTTTCCATGACTGGGTTATTTGTTAAACTGTTTTCCAGGTTTTCCAGGAGGTGCGGGAACCCTGTATGCAATGAGGTTAGCTCAGTATTCCCGGAACAGATCTCATGGCGTAACTGCAAAGAGACCAAGGAGGATTTTGGCGGACGAAAGCAAAGAAGAGAAACGGAGAGAGCAACAGACCGGACAAGAGTGAATGTCGGACGGTCTTTATCTTGTTGGCGCAGAGCTAAAGAGCTGAAAGGATGTACGACGGATGCTGAGCTACTAAGTGATATTTCTGTGTCATGTGTTGTCACACTTGCTTTGTGTTAGAAAAGTTGGCGAAAAAGTAATGCACGTGCACAGCTGTCCTTAGTAAACAATAGAGGCCGTGTTGGGCACGTTACTCAGATACTGTAGTGAAGTTACAAGTTAATTATTACTCCTTAAACGTTGCTATAGTACTTTCACTACCACCTCCCCATCATATTCATAACAGCAGCAAGGAGTGTGTTTATAACAAAACATGTTTCTTAGGGCCACCGGCTGAACAGCTGTTTTTCTGCACATGTAGCCCGTTTTACAAAACGTTAACGCCACTCTCTGCCGACGAGTGCGTGCATCACCGTCACCAGCAGCCGGAGTTTCTTTCTGTAAGTTTCATGTCACTGTGCTGCTGCAGCAGATCAATAAATCAAATGTAGATGTAAATGTTGGCGGTTGAAAAGCTTTTTGCTGGTCGCACAGAGTTTACACTAAACGACAATGTTCTTTTCATCTTAGACTGTGGCACAATAATGACAGCAGCAACTTCAGCAGCAACTTCCAGCTGTGGAAAGAACGCCTCTCTCCCTCTTTCTACTTTCTTCCTTTAGTTTTTAGGCTAACAGGCAACATGAATAACAGAAGGTCCGGTGCCGCAAGGACGGTGCATTCAGTAACGCAGCGTTACTTGGATTAGTAACTGTAATAAAATTAGTTTTAGAAAAGTAATCTGTTACACTACTAGTTACTGGGAAAAGTCATAATATTACTGCTATTATTAGTAACACGTTACTGCCCAACACTGAACACGGGAGCCAAATCAAACAAATAATCTAATTTCACATGATGTTGCTTTAAGACCACAACAGTGATTAACTGAAAGCCCAGAGACCCTCATGTTTTACACTTCTACTGGTACTTTAACATCACACAAAGAAATAATTTTTAAACATTTTTAACCTGATCACGTTGTTTCAAAAGGCATTTAAACAACTTCTACTGTAGCCTTTCAGTAATGAGCTCGTGTCCTTTGCATAAAGCAGCTGTGGACACTGACTGACCGAGCTTTGTTGCCGGCGTCCATCAGGTCCCGGATGTCAGTGAATCCGGTCACGGCCAGTTTGGACAGATCTTCCACGTAGGGACCCAGGATGGGATGCTCCCGGACCCGCAGAGTCCCCTGGGACTTTGGGTTCAACAGATCCCGGACCCGCTCGCAGTAGATCTCCATGTAGGACACCTGGAGGAGACAACGTTCAGCCGATCGACGTTCACTGACTGAATCGGTTTGAGTGAACGCATCAGAGTGAGTTTACCTCCACGGAGTAGGTCAGGTCTGGATCAGTGTTCTCTCCTGTTCTCTGAAACAAGTCCTCACACAGCTGAGCACAGAGAGACAGAGGGTCATTAATCAGACGCTGCAGCAGCTCTCATTATAATAACAAGCTTCTAACTGCTCCAAATAAGCTCATTAGGATCATATCCAAAATATCCCACATGTGCTTTACACATGTGGACCTGGCACATTTTGTTTCCAACAGTGGAAATCAGTGTGAGTTTCAACATAGCAAAGAATGCAGCTGCTGGTTGCTTAATTTACTATTTTAGTCTTCTCGGATTGTCATGGTAACGCAACAAGTGATAGTTCAGCTAATGTTGTTCCTTGTTGCACTGCTGCAGTTCAACAGCAGAGAGAATTTAAACATTTTGTAAAGGAGCAGCTTTTAAATGTTGGATCACTAAGTCTGTTTTATTTATTACCGCGTCTCCTTTAGCTTTAATCTTTATTGTGTTTCCATCCTTGACCGCAGAGTGCAGTCCTGTATTTATTACTGCCATAAAAAGCTGTTTATGTCCAATGGTTTTAGACAATTAATGGGTTAAACGCTCTACTGCACTATAAAACCAGTTCCTGCATTGGAGTGCGTTACCTGTGGGATGATCCCCTCCTGCCCAGGCTCCTGTTTGCCCATCATCGTGTAGCTCTTCCCTGCACCCGTCTGGCCGTATGCAAAAATACACACATTGTATCCTGGAAAACAACAAGAATAATAATAATAATTTATTGATTCTAATCGTTTTCAGAATGAGAAACAAACGGAAACCAGTTGATGCTTCACGAGCCACCAATATATATATATATTTATTTAAAGAAAAAGGATGTGCAGCTTCTGAGTCATGTTTGTTTTTAAATCTACTTAAACTCTTTTGAAAGCTGCAAATTACATTTTTGTCAACAGGATGTCTGAAGATCCTAGCAGACGTTTCGTCCCTCCTCCAAGAGACTTCTTGAAACTCAGCTATTTAACCTCTGTGGGGTCAAGATGATCGAGAACGTTGGTTTATTTTAGTGCTCCTGGATGTTTAAACGATAATGTCGTCTCAAACAACCATAATGACTGTTGTTACAACAGCCAAGAGCACCAACGGTTTCCCTACCAGTCAGATACAACCGAAGAAGTCTGTCGGACGATGGATGAAACATCTTCGAGTATCACTTCATTACTTTCAACTAGTGTTGTAGTACTCGAGACCGGTCCTGGTCTTTGATTGGATATAAAACGTATTGCTTCAAATGCAACAAAGAACCCTAATTAAAAATGTGTTGTTCCCGTTAACGACTGCCCCCCCCACCCCTCCCTCCCTGCGACAGTAAGCGCGGAAAAGGAGTGTTGAATAAAGATGCTTATGTTGATTTCAGCTCTTAGTGTTTGTTTGTAGGTGTTTTAACGGGAATGTGGATCTTTCAGATCAATCTGAGAAGTACCTGTGACCTCGTTCTACATTTTATTGTGTGTCATGTAATGTGGGGAACTGGTCTCGCCCTCCCTCGGTCTTGGTCTCGACTTGCTCTCAGCCCCTAAAAGTCTTGGTCTTGTCTCGGTCTCGATAAACTCTGGTCTTGGTCTTGACTGCAACACTACTTTCAATAACTTCGTTAGCATCTGCAGCATCATCATTAGCATTAGCTTCTGGAGCATCATCACTGTCGTTATCGTTGTCACTGCAGGTCAGAGAGGAGCAGCAGAGTTCAGGACTGCTTTACCTTCGAAGGAGTGCAGCAGCATCTCCTCTCCGATGTCCTTATACACCTGCCTCTGACACGCAAAGCTGGGGTCATCCGCCTGCAGAAACACACACCCCTCTGGTCATTACTGCTTCTGGGTTAACTGATGAATGATTTTCCCTCGTGTGTGTGTGTGTGTGTGTGTGTGTGTGATCACCGTCGTGTGTGACCAGTAGGAATAGTCGAATGTGAAGTTCTTGGCTCCGTCTTTGGCCTGTTTGGGGTTGGAGATACCTGGAAAGAAAGAGAGAATGAAAACACCTGCTACACTGCTACACGGCCCGGTGGAAAGCAGAAGAGTGGAGGCTGTTAGATCAGGAGATCAGTGTTTCAGTATCACGTTGTAGTTCAACTCCTAACCTCCGTCCATCATCAGTTCAGCTTTATAATTATCTGAGTAGATGTGAACGTGTTCAGACGGACGCTAAAAACGGCCCTGCTGCAGCAAAGCCTATAAATAAACCCCGACAGGTTCAGAGGTCACATGACGGGCAGAAGCATTCTGGGATTGCTGAGCCTGTTTTAACACACGCAAACCTCAAACCCAACGAGACTGAGGGAAGGAGCCTGTTAGCACGCTGCTTTAAAACCAATCAGGATTAGTTTTAGCTCGACTACAACCATTTATTCACTAAAGAATATAACTAATACAGCTGCTAAGTTTGTGCATTCACTAATCAGAGAAAATAAATTAGTTAGAGTAAACAGAAAAAGAGATAAAGTGATGACCACCACCTCAATTAAAGCTAAAATCTGATAATTTAATTGTTCTACTTTTGCCTCCACATGGCTTTAAATAAAGATGCATGTTCTCATTTACTAATAAATCTAATCAAAAAGTAAACAAATGGAGGTTTAGCCACAGGCTTACTCATTGTCACCTTACTTTATTCCCGATGCTCACATGACTGAGGCTTCGACTGATTTCACCTGCTGCGTATCAACTGACTCATTTTATTCTACTTTGAAATCTTGCATTTAAAGTGCGGACAGTGAATTCACTTAAACTACAATTTACCCGTCACCTGTCGTTCTGTTTTCATGTCTTACTAATCAACTTCCACTTCATCACATTTAACTTCTCTCTATCTCTTTGACTGACTCTCTAAGTGAGTGAGTTTAACTGCTTTCCTCGCTCAAGATGAAAGTCAATTCACTTTCTAAGTCACAAATCATCTCCTGTTCTTAAACTTACAGAACACATATTCAGACCAGGGCTGTGCGATATGACTAGACACTTCATACCCTACGGTACATATCCAAATATAGAAAATATTTTGTAAATTCATTGAAAAATCTTGAGTTACGATTCTGGAGAAATCTAATAACGTGACAAACACCATGATGCAGAGTGAACAATGACTCAGCAAGTAATGTAACTAATGTTAGCCAGGTTGTGGGTAGGGCTGGGTAATAAAACAATAATGATAATTATCGCAATACAATTTTCATCAACAACAATATAATAAATGTTCAATATATCGTCAATAAATGTTTGATTCAATTAATTTGAATCGCAAACAAATGATCACTTTCTATCAAGATATTTATTTTGCTGAGGAAAAGGGACTGAAGGTTTACTAATTATATTTGTTGAAAAAAGATTTTATCATAATAGTTTTGAATGTTCTTCCTCAGATTTGTTGAGTGATCCACTGTTTGGCATCGAGTGTTTGTTCTGACCATAAAGAAAAGTTTAAAATCAGAATTAACCAGCAGGTTTCTTAAATTTTCACTCAGGAGAAAAAAAAAAAAAACGTTTAGTTTTAACCAAAACATTTTTTTTTTTTATCGTTTATTGTTATGCACCAATACACCAGAGTAAATTCCTTGTATGTGAAAACCTACTTGTCAATAAAGCCGATTCTGATTTCAACTGTGAATTTCATCCATCTCACAGCCAACATTTTAACACATTTTAACCGTTTAAATTGTTTTAAAAGCTTCAGAGACTCAACATATTCAGACATTGTGTGTGTGTGTGTGTGTGTGTGTGTGTGTGTGTGTGTGTGTGCGTGTGTGTGAGTGTTGCGTCTTACAGGTGGTGTTTCCCTGCATCTGGATCACACACTTGGCGTTGCGTCCAGTCTCTCGGGAGTTGAACGGGCGGACTCGCACCGCCACCTTCACCGACGCCCCCGCCATCACTCAGCTCCGCCCGCCCCACCTGAGGGCAGCCAATCAGAGAGCTCGGTCAAACGCAGTCAGAGAGAAAACATAAGCATCAAAATAAATACATTATTAAAAAGGAGCACTCAACTGATTTTTAGCTACACATTTCCAAAGTCGAGTCTGCGTTGCTAACTGGAGGTGTGGTGGGAAAAACTATCCAGGTGCATTGTGGGAAATGTAGGATCCAGGATCTTTCTCTCTCTCCTTTCCTCATTTATCAATTATTATCAAGAAATTGAAAAATTATTTGAAATTATTTAGAATTTACAAGTAAAAACATTTACGATGATTTGATTCTACATTAATCTTAAATATTGAGATTGTTTAAAAATTTGAGTTTAGAGTTTAGTTTTGTTTTTCACTTTGTTTTCTGACTCCTTATATTTACTTTTATTTTATTCTTTTCATATTTAGTGTTTGTTGTTTTTACTGTTTCTTTTGTGTTTTTAAAGCGGATTTTAATGACTATTTGATTTAAACCTAAATAAACATTTAAACTTTGTTCCTCTTCCCTCCATCTCTTTCTCTCTCCATCCCTCGTTTTATGCTCAAACCACTTTTCTCCTCCTCTTTCCAGCGCTCCACCCGTCCATTTTACGAGCTCAGCTTCCCGCTCTTTCACTCCTCTCCTCCTCGTTTTCCCCTCGTGGACTTTCCTTTTCTCTTCCTCTCCTCTCTCATCTTCTTCTCTTAACTTCTTCTTTTTAATCTCTTCTTTACCTCTTCTCTTTTCCTTTTAAACCTTCTCTCTCTTCCCCGTCTGTCCTCTTTCTCCACGTCCTTGTTTTAACTTTAATCTCCTCTTTGCTTTCGTTTCAAACACCCTTCCTTTTTCCTCTTCTGGTTTACTTTGCTTTTCCTGTCTCTCTTTTCCTTTTCTCTCTAAATGTAATATTCATTTTACCCTTCTCATATTTTTTTACACCTTTTCCCTGCATCTTCTTTACTTTATTTATTATCTTGTCGTTTCTCCTCCATCTCTCCTCTAACTCATCCTGGGCGTTCGAGCACCACTTGTCTCTCTCTCTCCCTCTCTTTTCCTCTCATTACTGTTTCCTGAACCCCTCCTGCTGCACCTCCCTCCCTTCTTTCCCCTCTCTCGCTCTCTTTCTTTCATGTTTCCACTTATTTTCTTTCCGTCTCTCTTTACATTCCTGCCCTGTTATGTGTTTCCTCGTTGCCATGGCGAGCGAAGCAGTCTCATTGTCACCTCTTGTCTTTCCACTATGTCCGTCCTGAAGTTTCTGTTTCCTCCTTTTATTGTCTCTCTTTCTTTCTCCTCCCTGCTCCCATTTATCCAGTCTCTCTCTCTCTCTCTCTCTCTCTTTATCATTGTCAGTCCATGTCGAACGCCCCCGCCTCAGGCCTTCTGGGAAAACACCTCATCACACACTGTTATTGATCCACCGTCAACACCGTCTCTCAGACGCTCTCTGACCAATCAGAGCGGACTGATTAAAGTGTGGCACGGAGACAGAGGGTTCAATGTTATTGATTGGCTCAGTGATTTCTTATCAGCTGGTGTTTGTTCAAACATACGAGACGCCCTGACTATCTGAGTCCTTTAATATTGACACTGAAAATAACAGCTGTGACCACTGAACTTAGCAAACCTTATTTTATGTGAGCTGCTTGATCCAAAAACTATTCAGTTAAAGTAAACTTATTGATCAGATTTGAATAAAAGTTTAACTAGAAAGTGTGATTTCTGAAATCAAAGTGACAGAATCAGCCGATGGTTTTACTGGAGAAGATTTCTCACTCTGTTCAAACAACACAAACACACCACACCGCCGCACCAAACACTCACTAGAGCACCAAATGTGGATTCATCCGCCGCTGGAAATAGTCACGAGAACTGATACTTGTGCAAAACTCCGAAAACATGACGGTATTTGCTTTTGTAGACACCGTAGGTAACGGTGATCCAACACGTGAAAGAGCTGCAGTGACATCTCTGCCTCGACTCGTCGAAAAACAAAGTAACAACACAGAGCTCAACACTGAACGTTTTAAACCCACGGGGCCAGTGAGTTACACAGAGCAGCGGACACAAGTCGCCTCTATCCTGATTGACAGGTCGCCATGGTAGCGACCCGACAGTCCCGCTCTAAAGCATACATTATTTACTAAATGAACATCATACTGTGCTGAAACTAGCGACTGAGTGTCATTTACGCTGTAGACGCTGAGGACACGTTCTCACCACTTTTTTGAAAGCATTTGCTATCTGAAAATTCGCTTGCAACAATATTACATGACAAATAACAATTATTTTAGAAAGGTAAACTTGCACAATAGGAAAGCGTGAAATGCAATGTAAAGAAAGAAGAAACAGACCTGCCTGTAAAAAAAAAAAGTAACTTAGGCTTTCACCAGCCACGTGAATTTTGTTTCACTTTATATAAATACAGACATTTTCACCATAAATTGGTGCAGAAAATGTCTCCAGAATGCAGGAAATTAAGAGTTTAATGCTCAAAATCTTTTAGGGGAGGACCTCCAGACCACACAATCGAATAGCCTCTTTCACCAATGAATATTTCTTCTAAATAGCATTGGAGTATCTAGTTTTCTTGCTCTGGTGACTCCAATGTTGTTCAGTCTAGTGGACTAGGTGTTGTTGTCACACCCCTAATATGAGCCCTTAAACGTCTCCACCACTTTTCAACACAAAGTGACGCCTTTGGATTGAGACCATATACTCATGAAGGTGTTTACAAAAAGGTAATGAATGCCATTATTAACTTATTTCTGATGGAAACCGACTTCTTTCTGCAACCAGCAGTCTCTGCGCCTGCTGGCCTTTATAGAGAACGCAGGTTTGAGTGCGTCTGCATGGTTTTTCAGACCCAGAGGTTGCCGCTTGATTGAGATTAGAGAAATAACATTTGACAACCACTCGTCATCTTTGTTTAAGGCCGCTGGCGTCGCTGTGTGTTCATTTAATATCTGCAATGGTTAAACGCTAAAGGCTAACGTAAACATAGCTCTAAGCAGCAGGCTGCCTTCCTCACAGTTCAGTCTGTCATCAGTCATCAAGGCGTAACGTTTGTGGCCTAATGGTCTGTCATAACTGAAATCTCGTAATTTTCTTTTCACCCATATCCTTTTTATTTGTTAGCCTATTGAAGGCTACATTCCGCCGTTGTTGTTGTTTTTTAATGTTTGTATTTAAATGCATGAGATTTATTGTTTTGATCTTGGTATCTACTTCCAAATTTCTGGTTTCGTCTCTACGCCCGAACAAATGCAACTATTAAAATGAACTATTTTGTCCCGTTTGTTTTTATTTAACAGCTGTTTCAGGACATTTAAATAAAAAAAATTAAACTTTATATTTGTGAGGTGTTTTAAAGATTTACATCTTCAGTAGGAACCAACGGACTTGGATCTGAGAGCCACAGACAGGAAGTCCGACAGTACAGAGAGACGGACTAACATGTTGTTGGTTTGAGTCTGAACGTGTTGATTTGTTGACAAGCAGAAAAACAGAAAATATGCTTTAAGGGGTCTTTATAAAAAATGTGTTAAACTGCTGATATTTTCTCACAGGATTCAGCATCAACGTCAAACCTCCAGTATCGGTCAGGCTCCAGTTTTCGCACACACCTCCTTTGTGATGTCCTGTGTGTGAGAGAGATAATACTAAACGTCCCTCTCTGTGTCTCTCAGCTCAGATTTGTTTCACCTGAATGAGGCGACGCGCCCAGGATGCTCGCGCAGAAATAAACAAATGAAATGACGTGATCCTGCAGGTGGTTTATATCACATCAAGTCCGGGAAGGACTCGTTGCCCGGCTGTGGTCTTTCATCTTTTAACACAAGTTCAATATCTGATCTTTTGTAACCAAACCACTTCCACACAGGCTGAACTGCTTGTCGTTGCCGTGTGTTAAAGGCATGACATCATCGCGTCAACACGTCAGATTACTGCCATTATTTTTTCTACTGCAACTTTTGTTTCCACTCAGGTTAGCAAATAAAAAATGTAAATACAAAGAGGTAGGATATGTACGCCACAGTCAAATCACTGTTTCCTGCTTATTCAGTTTAGTTAATTTGAGTTTCTGTTCAAACACGGCAGCATTGTTTTCACACATCAACATCAGCTGGCTCAGCTATGTCAGGTATGTGCTGGCAACAAACACTGTAAATAAAACACAGATGTGTGTTGAACTCCAACGTGAACGCGGCTTTTGTCTCTGAAATGTTGAGAAGCGTTTTTACATTTTTTTGTTTAAACAGCACATGTTGACGCTCGTTTTTTTTTTGTTTTTTTTTCATTGAACAAAAGAAGCCAAAATTGTCTAATGTCGTCTAAACACACGAGCTGCTGCGCAAGAACTTTAAATCTAATTTAGCCTTTTAATCCATCCGCAGGAACTGAATGTGTTAAAGTACAACCAGGTAACAACACACACAGAGCGAGTGTTTGCTCTGTCAACACAGCTTAAAGTCACACACAGACAAGATGGTGGACGTAGATACTGGATTGTACACTAATCTTATTGTGTGTGTCTAGGTGAACAAGCAGCCTACATGCCACAGACCGGGCAGAAACGCTGACATCACAGCACAGGCATCCCCACACACACACACAGCTCTTCAGTGTGTCTGGTTCAACAGGCCCCGGCTAGCTGTGCTGTTAAACAAACTAACCAGCTGTTTAAACAGGACGTTAGCAGCGCCTGAAGAGGAAAACAATTGGTGGCAGAACTCCCATCATTCACATTTCACACAGTACCGGCAGCAGCTTGTGAGAAGAATAAGTCCACCATCGTAAAACTGTGCTGCGTGCCGGTGAGTGCCGGCCCACTTCAGGCTGTTAGTCAGAGACGTTTTTCCAGCTTCAGAGGAGAAATTCCATTCGTCGTTGTGGTTCAGGGCTTTTTAATCTTGCAGCTAAAACCAGCTGCACTGTCTCCTCACATCCCTCGGAGAGAGCCAGAGAACACTTGCAGCCTGAATATGGAAACTGGACCGGTTTGCCGA